TTTAAGCCTATCCAATACAAATTTGACACATCACAATTGATTATAGAGTGTGTTACACCATAACATATCCATATTGATTTGTTAACCTGCTGGTTAGGTTTTTTACTGATTTTTCTAAAGAAAATACCAAGATGTAAAATTTAGGTAACTTTAATGAATAACCATAAGTCATTCGTTAACTACTAGACCAATGAAAGGTAAAATCAGATCAGTTTATGACAACGAACACTTTCACAACTTCACTTTTGCTTCTACTTTTTTGTTTTCTTAATTTTTACAAGGAATCCGTATCAAGTTTTTTCTCTGAAGCACTTGAAATTTCCCCCAAGTAAAGTATCAGTCCAACTTCAAAACAAAAAGTTTCCTACGAATGTTAAGTTTGACTATTAAGTTGAAGGTGATCACAAAAAATTATCTTCATCATCATCAGAAAATGAAAAAAGAAACAAGGAGGGAAGAAGACCCTTAAACAAAAACAAAATATAATAATAATGGAACTGACTGATTAGCACAAACAAAACAATAAACAAACTCCACGTTCTATATTCCTCCCTTAATAGCAAGAACGCTAGCAGCAGCAACGACAATACTTATTCCTCCACCACCACCCCTTCTCAGCCTTATCACTTCTCCCCCTTCCAACTCCAACACCAATTTCAGGAAATACATCTCATTCATTTGAATAAAGGGATTATTCATTTGAAACAGAACAAGAATGCAGGGACTATTCATTTGAAATCATCTCACTTAATTCTTAATTACAAAACCCTTAGTTTGATACTATGGTAGAAGAAACTAACATAGATTACTAATCATATGCATCTAGATATGAAGTTTTGGCACATGCATATGATATTGCGCATGTTGATGATTATTTTTCATTTGTTTTTTTTTTCAATTCGGTGATCATATCTTCAACTATGGCATCGAAACATTTCGGCTTGTGAGCGTAGAACATTGAAAATCTTATGAACAATTCAAGAATTAATCCACTACCAAATCCTAGGACCACCGATTCTCAAGTAAATCTGCGCATGAATTCATCTGCTGGATGAGTTTGATTAGTCCCCTGATTTATCACAATCATCAAGTGGGTAGCCCCATAATCCTTCATTTTCACCAAAAGAAGTCATCTTAAACGTATTAAACTAACAACCGGTTCGAATTGGTCCAACTAGCAGATTCTGAGAAAGGTTCAAGAACGCAAGAAAATTCAGCATCGTGTTAGTGTATTCTTAGAAAGGTTTATGGATTCTAGCGCAGATAGGTCCCTAATTGTTAAGGGGATCAGACCATCAAAGCTGTTGTTTGAATGATTAAGCACCGTGAGTGAATCAAGCTCTCCAATTTCTTTTGGGATGCTTTCTCAAAATCCATTTAACCTCAATCTGTAGCCCCTTAATCGGCAAAGTCACAGAATCTTGATATAAAACTAGAAGATTGTTTTCTTGAGGCAGGGTAAAATCTGTTATTTATCAAAGAATTTATTTCCTCTAGGTATTGCCACCGGATTGATAGGTTACTGGTTATAAGGCAATCATCAGATGTGGTTAGGTGATTTTAAATTTCAGAACACCTTATTTTAATCTAATAGTTGTTGTTAATTTTAATCATTCAACGGTTAATAAAATAAACTAAACCATTCACTCGACTGAACTGTAGTCGCTTCCATATATATATATATACATATATATATATATATACATATATATATCCCGTTACGGGACGGTTCCGTTTTAGGATAATAACCGTAGGATTAATCAGACTAATTAATAACCGTAGGATTAAAATGAGAGTGCATCATAAGTAAATACATTTAAATCCACAGTATTAAACAGAAAAAGTTTAAGAATATGGTCCATTTTGCCCAAAACTTCAAGTGTCTGGCCAATTTTAATGCAAAAAATTTTTGGGAAGCTAAATTCATAATCTAAGTTTCAATTTCTGGCCAATTGACAAAAATTCAGTTAGATTTAATACATCTCCTAACATTTCGTTACTTTGTACAGTTTTTTTTATTAGAAAAAGTTTTTTCGGACCCCATAATTTTGACATCTTTACATCATAAGTAAATACATCTAAATCCATAGTATTAAACAGAAAAAATTTAAGAATATGGTCCATTTTGCCTAAAACTTCAAGTGTCTGGCCAATTTTAACCCAAAAAATTTTTGGGAAGCTAAATTCATAATCTAAGTTTCAATTTCTGGCCAATTGACGAAAATTCAGTTAGATTTAATACATCTTCTAACATTTCGTTACTTTGTACAGTTTTTTTTATTAGAAAAAGATTTTTCGGACCCCATAATTTTGACATCTTTACCCCAATGATTTTAGTTGTTTTAAAATATACCCATAGAATTTTCAAAATCAATAAAATAAAATAAAATTAATAAAAAAATATTTTTTAAAAATTTAAATTTAAATTTTTTAAAAAACATTGTCATTCATTTTTTTACCCAAGTTCATCACTGTAAAATTTTCATCCTATATTTTATCAATACAATGAAAATATTTATTTTCTAACATATTAATATTAAATAAAATGATACTAAATTATTTAAAAATTGAAATCACAACTAATAAAATAATATAATGTTAATTAAAAATATTATTTGTTTAAAATCAAAATTTATTTTTTTAGAAAAAAGTTTTGACGTACTTTTTAAACTCCAGCCCATCACTGCAGAATTTTCATTCTATTTCATCTTATATTTTGTAGATGCTATAGTTTTTTGTTAGAATCTACTAATAGGTAAATATAACTCACAACAATTTCATAAATTAAACCATATCCAAAATAAGAAATTAGATTTGAATTAAATCTTAAATTTTAACATAATTATTCATTTTATCAGAACTTGTCTTAAAATTAATATTTTTACTTTATTCTAAGTGCACCAAATTAAAAATTATATCAAAACTTGGGCAACGAAGGTACATTTATTTTTTAAAAAAATTTCATTTGAGTTTCAAAAATTAAAATTTTTATTGATTTAATATTTATTTTGATTCGTAATTATTTTTATGAATATAATTATTTTAATATCTTTTTTAATATTTTATTCAATATTAATTTTTTTGAAAAATAAATATTTTTTATTCCAAAAATACCCTATTGACTTAAATATAAAGATGGTCAAACTCTTGAAATAAAGATGGTCAAAGTCAAACTCTTGAAATAGTGCCAAAGAACAATAAAATTACAAATAAAAATATAAAGAACTATTTTAGATAAATGTTAATTTATAAGAACAAAATGTGCATTTGGCCTAATATAAAAGACCATGATACCAAAAGAGTAATTAGTTTAAGAAATTGTAGAATGTTTCTCACCTCATGATTACATCTTATATCCTCAATATTGATTTGTTGAAGATAAAACGGTACGGTTCCGTAAAATTGGCCAACGGGACTCTAGATTTTTTCATATATATATATAAACTTTGAACTATTTGTATAATTCTCTCACTAAAAATTGTGCAAGTTTCCTTAAATTTAAATATATTTCTTCCATGTTATGATTATATGCTTAAACAATAAAAATATCATTAGTAGCACGTACAAATTAATGTCAATCCATTAAGGAACTTTAACATGCGTTACCTGATTTTTTTTTTATTAAATATATAATTTTCCATTAAAAAATTCAAAATAACAAAATAATTAAAACTTTAAAAATAATAAAAGGGAGATTTCTAGAGTCATACAAATGAACCTTACATAATAGAAAAAATCATAAATATGTATATACAAAATAAAATAATAAAATTGTTATAACAAATTCAAATAAAAATGTCATTTAAAAAAATAAAAAATTGTATTAGTTTGACAATCACAAAGTAATTCTATTATATAAATTCTCAAGTATCCAAACACAAGAATTGGTATTGCAACCTAATTCTTTACCAATTCTTTAGATTTACCAAACAAAAGAATAAAGATTGAGTTGTGCAATATCTCTTTTTCAAGTTTATAAGATTTTTAATTCTGATTCAATTCCAGTTCTATGAAATGATACGGAGCCTTAATGATACGGAACCGACTATCAAATGAGAGGCAACTTTGAGAAGTATGTGAAATTTAGGTTTAAACTAATCGTTGTTGCAACAAGTTTGCAATTGTTTTCAGTTTTTTTTTTAAAAAAAGAAGAACCAAACTGATCCAAATCAAATACTTTTCGATCAATGTTCAAACATCATATACATGTTTGGAAAAAAAAAATTTTAAAAAAATTGAAAAAGAAAACATCATATGCATGAGTAAGCCTTAATGCTTAGCGAGTGCACATGCAATGATGCAAAGGAAACTGATGATTGGATTACAAAATTTACAGCATATTCATTTTGTTTAGCATTTTACATGAGAATCCTGGGTGCCAGAAAAGATGTTTCTGTCGCCCTGGCGCTTGTGACCAATGATATCACTCTCATAGAAGATTTGGTGTCGGTGATCATCACTCTAAGGATTTATTTTTTTTTTATTATAATTACTATTTAATATAAATGGATCAATTGTCGTTTCGTGCATTTACCCTCGGATTAATAAGCTCAACATGCAAAAAGCAAGTGCAACTTCGTAAAACTTTGGGATTCAATCCCATCATTCGTACCTCAATCCGTATTGGGTGTTATCTCTAAAGGTTAATAGGATGGCAAGTTACCTTTAAAAAACATGACCTAAGGATTTCGGCCCTATCGAGCATTGGAAGAGACTAGGGAAGAAAAGGCTTAAACGAGTTATGCATTAAACTGGCCTGGAGGCATTTTTTAATAAGTTTCACAGACAAAAAACGAAAAAGATGAACCACTAAGGTACCAATAGCATTCGAAATTAAAAATAAATAAATAAATAAGACATGATATAGTAGAAAAAAAAAATTAATACTATTTCAATGTTTACCAGTTTGAAAAAAACTGGACCAGATTTTAACCCAAAAAAAAAAAGAAGAAGAAATAAAAAATAAACTCAAATGAAAGGTAGACTGAGGCAAAGAGGAATTAGATGCTAACCAAACTATTCACATAGGGAACATAAGTCCTCTTACCACCGCTTCCTAGGTTGTTGATGAGTTCCTTCAAATTCTTCTCTCCCAAATCAAACAAACAGAGTTTATCATAACCCTCAAGTACCACCAGTTTGGAAGAAACAAACACCACTCTATGGTTGGCGTCGCCGGTGATTCCCTTGTAGACGGCGCTGGTGCACATCTTTGTTCTTGGATACATTGGCATTGCACTTATTGCTTGACTATTGTTCAGTACATTCAAACTCAGTGAACTGCCATGAACGGTAGCTAAACAAACATTACCATTCACATTTCCCACCGCCTGAGTATGATAATAACCAAGCCGGTTTGATGTATCGTTAACTAGGTCAAAGGCAAGAACACTGCCGGAAGCGAGCTTCCAGTAAATGATATTATTCACACAAACACCTGAACCAGGAACAGGTGTTTCATTCATGAACAAAATTGCCGCTGACGTCTTCCAGGCATTTTCCCTGGAGTTATATACTTCAAACTCGATCGCATCAGGAAAGTCATTAGATCGGAAAGCACAAACTAGTTTGTACTCGGGTACAAAGTTAAGCAGTGACGGCTCAAAGACCAGCGCAATGGAAGGATTAGACCCGTGATCAGCGCTTGTTGGTGGAAGTTTCTTCCACTGCTTATTGACAGGATTGCAGATGTAGTAAGCCTTGTCAGGGGATGAAGATTGGCAGCACAGGAGGCCGTTAGACGACGACCTGATGAGAACCGGTTCAGGCATAAAACTCAAAACCGGGTCCGGCACACCACAGGATTTTCCATCAAAAGGGACTAACACGGGCTGTTTCCCCGAAACCTGACAAAACAAACCCCCGACAGAGCGGAAACACTGCGACTGATTGTGGACAAAGAATGGACTTGAAATCTGGAGTTTCCAATCTCTGCAAACACTCTTGAATCTCATAAGCGATTTTGCAGGGAGATAAGCTAGGGCATGCTCTCGTATAATGCCATTCAGGTCCATGTAGATCTTATTGTTGGTAATACCAAGGAAATTTCCCTTCCTTTTCCCACGATCCATGATGCTAAAAATAACAGAAACTAGTTAAAACTGGTCATCCACAAGAACAGAAAACGAATCTTCTATCTAATACCACACCATCCCAATTTAACTTTTCAAAAACAATCTTGATTTATTTCTCTACCACAATGCATAAGAATTAAGAGCAATATTGTAAGACACATTACATGTCCAGAGTAAAAATAAACGCGTGCAAACTGGAAACCATAAATTCCTTGAAATTAAGGAAAATTTTAAAAATTGGGACAGATTTTTTTATTTATTTTTATTTTAAGACAAAACCCCTTCCAATAATTTCTAAATATTCAATGCTCGGAAGACGTCCCAGTAGAAGATCATTCAGTTTACATACCCCAGATCTTTTTTCGACTATCATCTAATACAATTATATTATAAAAAGATTAAAAAAAAAAAGAAGTACAAGAGAGAAATTGTGAATTTTCGCCGTAATTTTTTAATAATAACCATTGCGCCATTATTCACGAATTTAAATGATTCTTTTAGGCGGATCATTTAAGTAAACCCTAATATCCCCTAACCACCAGAAACCCTAAACCCCAACGCGTCGAATTTGGGAAAATAAAACATGAAGGTAATATAATAATAATAAAAAAAAAAAGCTTCAATCAATCTCAGTGGATTAGAGAAAAAAAAAATTCAACTACAGGATGATGATCATCCAAACAATAATTCAGAGAAACCAATGTTCAATGGATTTATGATCTCAACAAGAATAATTATGCAACTAAAAGCTAGAGTGTAAGAAAAATTAACCTTAAATTATCAAGTTGCAGCGGCGGCTTGGCGGAGACGATGAAGCTTCTCTCCAGAGAAATTATTTATGAATTACTATATCGAACACAAATATTTTGGAATTTTCTATGTGGTCTGTCAAGCGAGTATTTACACTACCAAGTCAATGTATTTGGTCGTAGTTTTGACTTTTTATTTAAAAACAGTATGGGAGTCTAAAAAAGAAATGTGATGAATACCTACCAGCGTAGAATTGGAAAAAGAAACGGTGGGATTCTATAGTGCCGTCCACAATCGCAAATTATATGTGGCACCCGGTGCTCCCAAACTATAGGGAGCATCAGGACAGGCGTGTGTGCAGGGTTAAAAAATCACGTCCCCACATTTAAAAAAATAGAGGGCTCTTTACGCGCATCAACACTTTTTCCCTCCTTTTCTTCTTCTCTTTTTTATGACCTAATTTTGCAATTGATCAATCACAGACGATCCTTCGTCTCAATTGTTGATTTGCAGCGGCGGATTTCTACTAATTTTTAACGCAATCTTTCCTTCGTCTTCAATTCGTGTCGGTGATTCTAAGGTAATTCTTCATTTGCTGGATGTGTTTGATTTAATTAGAATTTTATCGACTGTGTCGTATGAATTTCAATCTCACCAGCCATAGCGTTTAAATTGTTTCCTGAGATTCATTGCGATTTTTGTGTTTTATTTTGTCTGGTAGATTAGTTGTTCAGAAGGAATGTCTGCTGTTCCTAATTCTGGTGCCATAGTCTCTTACTCAAGTGAAGAATCAGACGATGAATGCATCGTTGATGCGGAAAAATCAGACAATGAACGCATCGTTGTTGTGGACGAATTTGTTGAAGTCGTTTCTGTTGAAGGTGAACAACAATTTCTTTTATAACTGGATGAATTTCAATATTCAGAATGTTTTTGATGTTTTTTTGTCTTCCATGAGCATTGTAGTTTCATAAGAAGAACATTTTGAATTTTAGATGAACTGTAGTTCATGCAGAACTACTTTTGATGAATTATGTTTGCTGCAATGAGCATTGTAGTTCTGTGAGATGATCATTATAGTTACTGTAATGAGCATTGTAGTTTCACCAAATGAGCATTCCATATTTTTACATGAACTATATCAGACTTTCATTTTTCATGGATTAGTTGTGGACGATTTTTCCTGTTTTGTCTTTGTTGATGTAGATCTTCTTGACCGTGAGTTCTAATCAGTTGATGAGGCGTATATGTGTTATGAGTCGTATGCTAGAAGACTTGGTTTCGGTATTAAGCACTTTAAGAACATGTACAGGGAAGGTGGCGACTTGAATGTGAAACAGTTTGCTTGCAATAAACAAGGGGGTACAAAGAGTAGAGGGAAAGGGCTTCGCAACAGGATTATTACTCGTATGGGATGTGGTGCAATGCTGCAGAATAAGGTTGATGCGGAAGGCATTTGGAAGGTGGTTGTGCACAAAGTTGATCATAACCACGAAATGATAACTCAGAATCAACGTCACTTGGATCGGTTGCATAGGCAGATACCCAATAATGATGTAGCACTTCTAGCTGAGATGAAGGAGCACGGAATTAGCGTTACACATGGGTATAAGATGCTGCATAAGCAAGGGGATGGTTCTCCCAACCTTAATTACACCATCATGGATTCGAAAAACAAGGTGGCTGCACTTGAACGTGCGAGGTGGGAGGGCGGTGATGCGAATAAGTTGCTCAATATTCTAAAGAAGAGGAAAGCAACTGAGCCTGACTTTTTCTTCGATTTCTTGCATGATGACTCTTATAGGTTAAGTGTCATTTTCTGGACAGATGCTAAGATGAAACATGATTATGAGGTGTTTGAGTTTTGGTAGTGCACTACACAACCTATATGACAACGAGGTACAAACTTGTGTGTGCGCCTTTTACGGGAATGAACCAACACCACCAAAACATCATGTTTGGGATTGGTTTTTTGCTAAATGAAAAGGCCAAGTCGTTGGAGTGGCTTTTCTCTATGTTTTTGGAGTCAATGGAAGGTAAAGAGCCAGCCACTTTGATGACTGATCAGAGTACATCAATGGCGAGTGCCATTCTAGAAGTTTTTAAGGAAGCATGTCATCTCTTGTGCACATGGCACATAGCGAAAACTCAAAGAATCACATTGGCTATTTGAGGGCAAAGGAAGGGTTTATGGATTTGTTCTGTATGGTGTTGAGATGCATGGATACACAGGCTGAGTTTCATTACTACTGGAAGAAGTAAGTATCCTTTTCTGTGACTGTTTGGACAGAATGTTGTTTTTCCTGAAATGAACATTGTGGTTTTGTAGGATGAGCATTGCAATTTTATGCATCAGATACAATGTGACTGTTTTGACAGAAGTGCATAAGTAGAGTTTCTGGCATGAACATTGTAGTTTCTTAGCATGATGGTCATTATGTTTCTTTTGTTTTTCAGATTGTGTGATGATTATGAATGTGCTAATAATAAATGGTTGCGGAACTTACATTCCAATGGGCATAAATGGTCTCCAGCCCTGAACAAAGACCGGTTTTCTCGTGATGCACTTTCTTCACAGAGGTGTGAGTCGACCAAGAAGTCGATTTGTCAGGAACTCCCAAAATGTACGCGCTTGTGTACCTTCTATGATAAGTTTGAGGAGGTGGTGAAGGGCTAGAGGAAAAAAGAGACCCATAAAAATTTCAAATATAATAATGGACGTGTAGAGATGAAGTTCAAAGATGTGAATTTACTTACGCATGCACGTGAGTTCTACACGATTGAAGCCTACTTGTTATTTCAACAGCAATGTGAATTTGGTCTTTCTTGTGAACATTCGATGATTCATCAAGTTAACGGTGAGGTAGCATTATATTATGTTAAGCGTAACATTATAGATATTTTCCAGCATCAGGTTCATTATAATGTTCGGACACATGAGATTTGTTGTACTTGCAACATGTTCTCTGATACTGGATTTTTATGCGCTCATTGTTTACATATTTACAATGTAAACAATATAAATGTTGTTCCAGAATATTATATTTTGGGTCGGTGGAGAAGGAATGCTAACAAGCAATGTAGTGCTGTTGGTTCAGTTAGTAATGGAGGGTCTAGGGTTGTAGGTTCTACAATTTGGAGGTCAGATGTTATTGGCAAGTTTATCAGGCTTGTGTCGGCAAGTGAGCCGTCTCCAGCAGCTAAACAGCTTATCGAGGAAGTTTTGAGTGTGATGGCAAGAGTGGTCGAGGCTGAAGTTGGGGCTATACAGTCTAGAGAGGCAGAGGAAAGAGAAGAGGTTTCAGCATCATATGTGGTTGTTAAAGATCCTGAGCAACTGAGGCCAATTGGTGAGCTTAATGCAAGGTGGGTAAGTACTGTGGAGAAGAAAAGCAATCAATTCCGGGGAAAGAGGAAGAGAGCAGCGACCGCGAGGACAAAGAAAGTTATTTACAACAGGATGGCTTCTAGTGAACCCGAAGTTGTTGGCCATTGTATGCATCCGGTCTGTCCTGATCAACCCTTGCAAGTTTCAGTTTCAAGCTGCACCCAAAGCGAGGCGGGTACATTTCTGGAGTTCCTGTGAACAAACATGCAGTTGTAGGATGAACAATGGTGGCCTGGAAATGAACAATATGCGTCTGGAAATGAACATTTTGTTTTTTATTTCAGTTTCTCAGGATGAACAATGTTAGGCTGGAAATGAATAATGGCGGTTTCTAACAATTTTTTTTTTTTGAAAATACAGTATTGTTTAATTGCAACTGCCCTGGAAGTTATTAAATGAAAAGACACATTTACAATGAACATGGACCAATCTGAATTCCAAGTATTTATGTGCCTTTTAAATAATTCTCCTGATTTCTAAGTATTAAATGAGAAGACACATTTCAGAATTCCCTAATGTACATTCATTATCCATAGAAGAGGAATAGTCAGGGGCAGGGAGAAAATCAATAGCTTCATTCTCAGAATTCATCTATAAAAAACGAGATTATCCTAGCATTTCTACCACACTTGCAATTCCTATCTTTTCTACCTTTCTGTTATTCAGCGAAAAAACATGTATTCTTCCACCAGATATCAAAAATGCTTGAAAGGAACAATGGTATGCCCTTTTGCTTCTTTGTATTCTATCTTTTTCAACTTAAACGTGATTGATTTCTAATGTTTGTGATTTCATGTAGCACGACTACAACCAAGGGTTGATCTGTAAGGCTAATGATGGAAAGAACGCAACAGTTTCT